TTAAAGACAAATGAATATTTTACAAGCACAAATTAAAAACAGCATTAACATTTGTTTATATCTGTTACCGGCCAAACTCGATCTTAGGACAAACTAGTTTTTCCTAGGCTAAACTAGTTCTACCTAGATCCAATATATCCGTCCAATGCGGAAACAAGTTGGACGCAACAATATTGTGGAATGCGTAGCTGGTGTTATACTGATAAGGGATATTTTTTTTAAGTGCAGCCGAAGCCCGCCTACTAGGAAAGGTGTTCCGCGCAAAAATACTGTGGGCCCTGATCTAGTTTAGCCTAGGCAAAACTAGTTTGTCCTAAGATCGGGTTTGGCCGGTAACATATCCATCAGCAGGAGGTTTTGTTTCCGTTTGAGATCATAGACAAGTCAACGGCCCGTTTGAGTTTTTTGAAAAACTTGAAACGTTGATGTGCTCATCAGAAAAGGACGTGATAGATGCAAAGTGTGCGTGGGAACAAGATGACATAGACCAAGAAAGTCGTACAGATTCACTCCAAATACAAATGGCCATAATACATAACGCATCTTTTTCCTCGTAGTTTGTCCATTCGACTTCTGTCAAGAATATCTCACTAATATGTATGAAACATTAAGGGAATAATATTGTAACTTGCCTGTGATATAAGCGCTTTACTATTAGAATTCCGTGACATAACGACGGCACTATCGATGAAATCCTCCTGTTATTGCCAACAAGCCATGTACATATGTACATATTTTATTGCTTTAGTTTTTAATACATACCGCTTTTCGATCGTATGTATAATCCATTCGCTGTTCGAAATAAAATCGTAAATATCTTGGACAGTGATAATTGAGTTCACAAAATATATGTTCATATATATGTATAATGAAATTTAAAATGAAACTTCTCACAAAAAAGATTTTTAGGAGGCTTGTCAGCCAAGAGTGTGAACGAAAATACGTAAATAAATGATCGAAATTTGTACAACATTTTCAAATTAAGGTGGATCAGCGTTGCCGTTTTCACTCCGATTAAAGTGTTTAAGCCCAACACTACGTCGCTCCCTCTGTTGCAAAAATCTCTGATTTTGAGATTATCAGAATTAAATATTTACTATGAAATGAAAATATATGACCTCTACTACGTTTATATGTAAGCTAAATATTTGCAAAAATAAAAATAAATACCTATTTCACTATTTATAAAACGGTTAAAAATTCTTGTTCAATGTTACTTGATTATTAAAATGCAATAATATGATCATCTAAACTCTTTCTATATTAAATAAACTTCGCCCATACTTTGTATGGGCAAAATGCGTAGAACCTTCTGAAAAAAAAATATTAAAAATCAACGTGAATCCTTAGCCACTTCAAATTTGCACATTATTAGATATACTAAAACTGAACGGGCTATGATACTGCATACCAATTTTTTTTTTAGTCTTTGCATCGCAAACACTCTTAATGCCTTTTCTGCCTCTTAAATCGCAAGATAAACTAGCACACAAATGCGCATAATAATTTTGCCCTGACAGACGGTAGTATTGCGGATTATCGAGCTGCAAAATCGTGAGTTCGAATTCCACGGCCAGTAAAATTTTCATTTATTTCGTTTTTATTCATTTTTTTAAGAATTCTATATTTTTTTAACGTGGCTTTCAGTTAGTATTTGTTGACTTTTTAATAAAATTCAACTCTAAAAATTTAAATTAACTAATAGTAAAATAAAAAATGTGACATAAAATAAAGTAAACTTATACTTATAAATCAAGTAAAATTAAAAAAAATTAAATAAATAATAAAAACAAAAATATTTTTCGTAATCCCTCCAACCGAGGATCGAACTAAAGGTTTTTCTGTCATTTTTCGGCGGCGTCCGGCGCGTGAGGATTAATGCACAAAATATTCATGATGTACAGTGGTCGAAAAAATTATATCCGCACCACATATGGACAAGTATTAACAATTAATTTTTTTGTTATTTAATTTTTGTAATTTGTTTATAAAAATATGCTTCATTCTTTAATAAAACAATATTTAATAAAACAATAATAAGTAAGTCGCCTAACCCTCTGGTAGAAATTTCGGGCGTTCCTCCTGTCGGCCAGCATCTCAAGCTCTTGGCACTCACATATTTCGGCCTCTCTCTTCTTATTGCGGCAAATACGTCTCGCTTCCTTCTTCAGTTCCCTATAACGGTCCCACGTGGCTGGCGTTGCGCCCGATCGCAGCGTGGCCCTGTAGGCGGCATCTTTTTTCTCTGCGGCTTCTTGACATTCCTCATCCAACTACTTCTTCGGCGGCGGTACTTAATGATCGGGAAATGTGGTTCCACTGCTCGCGTATGTCGGATTGTTGAAGAGTGCTCTCAGAGAGCAGGTGTGTGAGTCGAGTGGCGAATAAATTGGCCGTCTGTTGTGATTGCAGCCTTTCGACGTTAAGCTTTCCTTGCATTGTTGGGCGCAGATTTTTTGCTGCACAGAGGCGGGTGCGTATCTTGGCTACAACAAGATAGTGGTCCGAGTCGATGTTGGGCCCTCGGATTGTACGTACGTCTAAAACGCTTGAAACATGCCTTCCGTCTATCACAACATGATCGATTCGGTTTCTCGTTTTTCGATCTGGAGACAGCCATGTAGCTTGGTGGATGTTCTTATGCTGGAACCTAGTACTACACATTACCATGTTTCGGGCCCCGGCGAAGTCGATCAGCATCAGTCTGTTATCGGACGTTTCGTCGTGGAGGCTGAATTTCCGACAGTGGCGCCAAAGATCCCTTCCTTGCCCACCTTGGCATTAAAATCGCCAAGCACGATTATGACATCGTGTATGTACGTTCCAAGCGCTCATAGAAGAGATCCTTGGACGCCTCATCCTCTCTTCCGTCGGGGCATGGGCGCAGATGAGCGAGATGTTGAAGAATCTAGCTTTGATGCGGATTGTGGCTAGACGTTCGTGCACCGGGATGAACGCCAGTACTCGGCGACGGAGTCTCTCTCCTACCACGAATCCAACACCGAATTTGCGCTCCTTTACGTGGCAACTGTAGTAGACGTCGCAAGGCTTTACGCTTATTTTTCCTTGCCCCGTCCATCGCATTTCTTGGATGGCGGTGATGTCAGCTTTGTCTTCCCGAGGACATCAACCAGCCGGGCAGAGGCACCTTCCCCATTAAGGGTCCGGATATTCCAGGTGCATACCCTTAAATCATAGTCCTTTATACGTTTGCCGTGGTCGTCATCAGAAAAAGGGGGTCTCATCCGAGGCTTTTTTCATTTTTTTCGTTTGGCGCTCGCTCCCAGACGGGTGTTTGGTTGCTACCCAGAGGATACGTGGACATATTATTGTCATGTTATAATCCGGCAACATTGGATCAGAATTTCTCACCATTGTACACATGATACAAAAAAATAAGGTAGTTTCACTTTGAAATTTTTTGACATAAACTGTGCTTGTGACGTTTATACTTTTCGTAAATTGCTCGAGTATCACTGCCACCTCAACAAATTATTGCTTTGGAAATTTTAATATTTTATAAAGGAATTTTTTATGCATTAAAAAATAACAACACGCAAGGTAAATTTACTTAATTCATCGTATTAGCATAGCTGTTAACAAGTTTGCCGTAATTTAAAATACCTTAAATTACCTTACCGCAAAAACAATTACCTTACCGCAAAGATAAACCACTCGCTCTACTGCTGCTGGTGCAGCGTTCCGCTTAGATTGGGCACATCCGTCCCGAAGCTGAAAATTTTCCGCCGAAAAGTCGTTAGAACAAGCAAACAACCCCTTGGCGAAGTTACCATGCACGTGGCCATCCCGTAATATGCAGCTAATCGTACTGTGGCGAATACTGCGGCAACGCGAAGTGAACAACGAGAAATAGGCAGAATATTCAAGGAATGACGTAGAATGTTCCACAAAGAGAAACGTCAAGTTGGATGAACACTGCGAACAGCGAGAGAAAGAGAATGAGCGATGAACTTCAGAACGTTCTAGAGTTGCCATGAGTGCGAGCGCAGATATATAAGAGCCACCACACAGCGGAGTGAGTTAGTTACAAGTTACAAGTAAAGTGAGCAGAGAAGTGAGTTGCGAATAAGCAAGCTATAAGTTTAATTGTGTTAACAAGTTTAGTAAAGCGTTGTTATTGCTTTAACCAGTATTGTAAAGTGTTTTTATTGTATTAGCGAGTATTGTAAATTGTTTGTTGTACAATAAAGTTGATTGTACTACAATTTGGTCATCGTGAGCATTGATTTAACAATCCAGCGATACGAACCGTAAGTATTGGGAAATCCGGACCATGATGCAATAATGCAAGGTGGTATCAGTTGTGACAGCTCGATTTTACACTGCCTTAGCTCAGTAGAATAAGAAGAAAAACGGGCAGAAATGAATCCCCGTTTGGGGGAAAAATATAAAATTTCACATTTTCTCCTAAACAAAATTTGCTTTTTTATAGTATATTCGTTATGAAATGAAATAAAATAATATAAAATAACTTTTTGAGAAAACAAAATGTGTATACTGAGAAAAATAAAAAAAAATCAACTATATTATTAGGCAAAGAATTGTTAAAGAAGTAACACTGTTTCAGCTAAGGCAGTCAATATGGCGGAATTAGATCGAGAAGTTGCCAACTGATAACACCTTGTATTATTGCATCATGAATCCGGATGAGGTTTCAAGGATAATCCCAGAGGAGAAACTTCCGAAAATGGCAAAATTTCAGGATTTAAAGATTGAGGAACTCAAGCAGGAGTTGGAGAAGCGAAATTTAGCAACCTCCGGAAGAAAAGTGGAATTACTACCACGGCTGCGAGAGGCTATGGAAAAGGAAGTTATCGACGTTGACAAATACGACTTCCATCGTGAGGACGACGCGACATCAACGAAGGGCGAACAGAAGGATGAGGCTGCTTGTTCGTCGAAGGATGTGCAGCAGACATCCGGTAAGGTTGAAGAACAGCAAAAGGCTCCTAGTTCATCAACAGTTATGGACATGAACACATTATTAGCCGCCATGTCCCAGATGTCATCACAGCTGTCGTCCCAGCTGGAAGCACGGAAAACGCACATGTCATCGCAGCTGGAAGCACAGAAAATGTACATGTCATCGCAGCTAGATGAAAAGATTACTCAGCTAGAGCAGAATTTATTCAAAGATAACGCGGAACTCAGAGAGAGACAGGATAAAATCGAGGAGCAGCAAAACAAAATCGAAGAGCTAATTAAGGAGAAAGTTGAGGCTAAGGTAGCAGAATTGGAAGGTCGTCTCCGAGATATGCAGTTGAATCGTCCAGCTTCTTCGACGAGCGCTCCCAAGGTAAATACTCCATCCTTTGACGACACGATTCCTTTCCAAGTCTTTAAGCTCCAGTTTGAAAAGACGGCTACAGCAAACAACTGGAGCATGGAGGATAAATCCGCTGCACTGTTCTTTGCATTAAAAGGACCTGCAGCGGAAATCTTGTAGACTATTCCTGATTGTGAAAGGAACAGTTACGATGCGTTAATGAGTGCAGTGGAAAGACATTATGGTAGCGAGCACAGGAGACAGATTTACCAGATAGAGCTGGAGAATCGCTGCCAGAAATCCAACGAGACTCTACAGGAATTCGCCTCCGAGATTGAAAGGCTGGCTCATTTGGCAATTGGAGATGCATCTGGTGAGCACCTCGAAAGAGTAAAATCCAGACGTTCATCAACGGAATGCGGGACGTGTATACCAAGCGAGAAACGTACGCGAATCCAAAGCCAACATTTGCTGAAACTGTCTCGTGTGCTCAGACGCGTGAAACGGCGGCGCTCCTAAGTAGACCAGCCTACAAAGCACATCGCGTGGAAGTGGAGACACCGGACGAGACAAAGGAAATGCTGAAGAATCTAATCCAACTGCTGGGCGAGAAAAATAATGGCTCTGGCAAATGTTTTAAATGTGGAAAGCCAGGCCACTTCGCCCGCGATTGCAGCGCAAGTTCCAGTGCGCTCAAAAATTCAGAAGGACGCAATCGCGGGGCTGAAGGAGACGAAGCCAACTCCAATCAGTCGTTAAACTGAAACGAGCCAGCAGGAAGGGCCGCGTGCTAGCTCCAGAAGTTGAAGGGCCCATAATCTCCGTCTCACAAATTGGCCAGAAAGCATGCAATCCCACTGTTGGTGGATGTGTGAATGGGCAGGAGAGAGTACTGACAGTGGATACTGCAGCGACACATTCCATTATTCGACCGGATTTGGCCACTTTTTATGTGAAGCCACTACTTGGAGCTAAGCTGCAGACTGCAACTGGTGAACGCACCCAAGCGTTAGGAGAAGTACCATGCGAGGTAATAATCGACGGTGTGGCCTCGTAGACTAAGTTTATAGTGGCAGACATTGTGGATGAAGTCATCATCGGCGTGGATTTCTTACTTGGCCATGGCATGAAGATTGACCTCCAGAGAATGATCCTGACAGATCGTCACAGGAAAGTGCCACTTAGGGTTGGTTACGACAGCCAGTGCTGCGGCAGGCGGTTAGTCTTAGATGAAGTGTCGAAGATTCCACCAGAAACGGAAGCGGTTAGTTGGGCGGAGGTTGGCAGTGATGGAGACGGAGTGGTTTCGTCAGGAGAAGGAAGAGGTTCACCGATACAGGAAAAGCGTGACGGTTCCGCCAGCTCAGTGAAGAAGGGGTCGCAACAAGGAAGTGGTCACGGCGAGCCAGGCAGTGTTTCCGGCAGGAGGAAAGCCACTGAACCACGTTGCAATGGTGATACGCCGGTGGCCGGAAATGGAAGCAGCTGTAGAAGTAGTAGGCGTGCTTTGAAGTGTCCTGAAAAAGGTGGTCGGCAAAGGCGAGCAGTTAAGCCGGAAGCCAAGGGTGAGATTATACATGTCCGGTCAATGAAGCTAGCATCGGCGGAAGAACGAGATACGAAACGACGGTGGAAGCTTCAGCGTAAGGATTCGGATGTAGCAAGATGTGCTAAAGGCAGAGCAGCACGAAGGCGGGAGTCTGGGTGTCATGGACAGATGATGCGGCATAGATCTGGCGAAAAGGGTGCCCACGAGAAGAGACATGGTCTGGTCACCACCAGTGGCCGGCAGATGCACGACCATGTGAGATGGTGCACTCTCGGAGATAAGCCGGAAGCAATGTCCAGTAACGCATTGTGGTTGTACATGTCACAGCAGAAGAAAAGCTTCATCTCCAAGCAAAGACGTGACTGGAGAGATCCGTTTAAGATTGACAAACGGCTGAAGGACGCAGTGCATTGAATCCAGACAATGGGGAGACCGAGGACCAAGATGAAAGTGGTCCACTTGGAAAAACTTGCAGCGGTTGGAGCGGCAAGTGTGTCTGATCGGGACGATCAGACTTAGGTGGAGGGCAGTGTCGCGAATACTGCGGCAACGCGAAGCGAACAACGAGAGATAGGCAGAATATTCGAGGAATGACGTAGAATGTTCCACAAAGAGACACGTCAAGTTGGATGAACACTGCGAACAGCGAGAGAAAGAGAATGAGCGACGAACTTCAGAACGTTCTAGAGTTACCATGAGTGCGAGCGCAGGTATATAAGAGCCACCACACAGCGGAGTGAGTTAGTTACAAGTTACAAGTAACGTGAGCAGAGAAGTGAGTTGCGAATAAGCAAGCTATAAGTTTAATTATGTTAACAAGTTTAGTAGAGCATTGTTATTGCTTTAACAAGTATTGTAAGTGTTTTTACTGTATTAGCAATTATTGTAAATTGTTTGTTGTACAATAAAGTTAATTGTCCTACAATTTGGTCATCATGATCATTTATTTAACAATGCAGCGATACGAACCGAATGATTTGGGAAATCCGGACGAGGTTTCAAGGATAATCGTAACAGTACTAAATGATGATGAAAATGATTGCATAAACAAATAGATTATCCATGTGCATTACGCAATGTAATAGGAGTATTTTACTTGCCTTCCCTTTTATAATTAATTTTAGAAATAAAGCACTAAAAGTTCGCTATAAAATGATTCTCAAAATATATTCCTTGAAATAATATTTGAAATAATTTTTTTGAAGTAAACCACTTCTTAGTTTCTTTAAAGAATATGGTAGCTTAAATTAAAAAAAAAAACGTGAAAAGCACTGTTTACGACAAATGGGAACAATGGCGGATAAGAAGAAGAAGTGAAACTACTTTAAATATTTGTATCGTGATTGTACAAACCATGATACATATATTTAAAGGTAAAACCGCTCGCTCAATTCGTCTGCCATTGGACTTTTTTTGACGTTTGCTAGCATTTTGAGTTTTCTCTCTCGAAATGCTTCTAATGTCAAAGAAATTCAAAATAAACAAATGTGAATTTATGATTTGAAATATTTATTTATTCAGAAGTTGGAAGAACTAAAAATTTCGAAACGAAAAATGAGTTGCTGCTTTAACGGCTGCGCAAATACCGTTGTCCACTGCAAGCAGAGCAATATCAAGTTTTTTAAGTTCCCGCAATTATCGTATATACGGCAAAAATGGATCGAGGTTTGTGGTGTTATAGAAGCGGATTTGCCAAAGTGCCCGTATGTGTGGTCGGCTCATTTTTTGCCACACCACTTGACCCAATATAAGCACGAGGTCATTCTTTGCAAGAGTGCAGTGCCTTTAAGGTAAAAATGTTTAAAGTTATGCATGTATGCATATGTATGTAGAAGTTCATTGAACACAATTGTTTACATTTATGTATTTATTTACATACATATGTATGTATGTGCATTCAAATTTTGTTGTTTCGTCAAAATAAATTTATTTGGTTTGAGTGAAAATAAAAACAAACAAATGAAATGACGGCGAGAGAAATTTTCAAAATGCTAGCTAACGTCAAAATTCCTAAGGCTGGCACTCAGCGATTGTACCTTATAAATATTTGTATCATGGTACAAACAGTGATTTAGGTATTTGCAAATTATTTTTTTTGGAAATAAGTTACTTATAAACGTATATATGGCCATTCATTTTCATCTCATAAATATTTAATTCTGATAATCTGAGAACGGAGTGTTTTTACAAGAGAGGGAGTGACGTAGTATTCGGCTTTAAAAAGGAGTGAAACACTCCGATCGGTATGAAAACGGCAACGCTGGTGTGTAGTTGAATCATGGCTATAATGTGGCAACTCTAAAAATCAGGTAATTTTACCTGGAATGATGTGGCGAAAGGAGCAAGATTGACAGGTCAAACAGTTAATTTCAAAAGGAATCCAGCTGCCATTTTAGAGGGGTGCTTAACCTGTGATTTCTCTCCTATTTATTTGCTAGGCACATTATTTATCGAACTTTGATATAAAAAAAGATAATTGTATTAAGAATATCAACAAATGAATGAAACTCATCACATTGATAATTTAATAGACCTTAGCAGTGATTATGGCGTTATGGAGGGGCAGTTGGTCCTCCCAACACATCAATCGCAAACAAGTCCAAACGACGGCCAATCAGTTATGGAATGCACAATGCCCAACTGCCTCATAGTGGCTACGGGAGAAGGACGTGAAAGTCTTGATAACAACCCATTTGACTGCGCTCAAAAATTAGCAAGCCGTTCAGATGATCCGTTTGATATGATAGAAAAGGAAGCATGTGTTAAGGTTTGTTAAACGTTATTTTTATACATATGTATGTTAGTGCAATCACATATATAATATGTACATACATAAATATATGTTTATTTCGATACTACTTGCATAATTCATTTGTTTAATTAGGCACGATATTCTATGCAACCTACACATGAAGTAAAAGTCGGTAAACTTTTATCACTGAGCGATAATAACATAATAGATGATGTAGGTAATTGTGAGTTCGATGAGAACACATCCTTTCAGGAAAACATTAGCAAACCTACCACTGACTCGCCGACCGTTAACATTAGTTCGACAATGTATCATACAGCCCTAGTAAATGACTTAGATAGCGAGAGTCCACCAATTTCAATGTCTAAGAAATCTACACCAGACACTTGCAGCTCTGCGTTTGAAAGCGACGAAAGTTCCGCCAATAGTGCCGATGGTTGTTCTGCGAAAATCCAAAAAGCGTTGGAACATCGTAAACGTTTGCTTAAATTGAGTATAGCTAATTCAACATTTAATTCGCCATTGAGTTGTCGAACACGACAAGGACACAGCGGATTTTCGACAGTTTTCTCGGCTGCCGCACATTTTAGCGATTATATCCTTTCCACGGAATCTCCATTGAAATTGGTAGATGATGACCTTGTTAACGATCAGCCGGCAAAAATTCCAAACTCTGAAAATGATTTCGAAGCCGATTTGAAAATGCTTAGTATACCGATGTTAAGGAAATTGCCCTCACCAGTACCCGAAGAAACGTCTTTAACGACAAACGAAGCCAACGAAATACTGCCTACCCCTCAAATTGTGACACCGTCTGATTTGTCGGCGATTCGTGAAAAATTGCAAGCAAAACGGATGGCAGCTTGTAATGGCCAAGATGTTGTGTCGTTAATCGATAATTTAAAGTCACTGCTATGTGAAAGTGATATTGTAGATGAAAATAAAAAGGAACAGGCAAATTGTTTGTTAAAAAAACTTAGTACAGCTTTAAACACTGAAAAGACGGAGGATAATAATAGCGGCGAGCAAGAGAATAGCTATGCTAATGCCGGATTGTTAACACAAGTGCCGCAATCAATCGTGCGACAGGGCACTTTTGACAAGGATCTACAGGTATTTTACTATTAAGTTTAATTTTTATATCAGTATCGCTTTTTAATAAATATTATTTCATTTTTAAAGTCTCCCGGAAAAGATAAGGGTGAGCATACTGATATGATTCCGACAATGTCTGACGATACATCACGCACCACACATTCTTTACAATCAACACAATCACCGTCCCCACCTAAAGAAATAGCTGATGTTATGGTAAAGTCTTCGGCCACATATGATGGGGAGCCTGTGGCGGAAAGAGAAAATCTCCTGTTGCCACATGTGGATAATATTTCGCCGATAAAACCGCCGAATTTCAAGCACATGATATCGAGTGAAGCAATCTCTCAACCTGACGTAAATGATATCATCGAACAAATAGGCAAACTTCTCGAACAACACCAAATCGCAACACTAACAAACAATGGAGATGACTCGAGTAGAAGTAATTCATCAGCAAACAATGCGCAACAGCAATCGGCAATGTGTAATCCTACATTTATTGTGGTTATGCAAACAAACTCTATTCAGCCTAATCATGAAAACGTAAATAGCTCTATATGTGCTGATGCTTTTGAAGATATGACTAGTAATTTGGCAATGCGAAGGCGTTCACAATCTTTGTCTTTACATGACAAGGTCAAGATTGTTCAACTACCAGTACGGTCACATATAACTCCTGCAGCACCTGAAACTACCATCTCGCCAAATATTGAATGTGTGCCTCGAGTTGGCACTACTTCGGATGTAAAGACTCCAATGCGTCCAACTATGCGGAGAAACTCCTTTTGTAGTGCTACGCCACTGACACCACTGACTTCATTGAATCGCGGAGCCAGTATGGTAAATACTAGACGCCCTCAGAAGTAAGTTTAAAAATTAAGTGTTTGTTTAAATTGAATTTTTTTGTAAGTTTATTTATGACTTTTTGAAGTTTACAAGTTCAATCACGTTACTCACTCGGCCCCTCCAGGATGCAAGACCGTGAAACTCAGCAGCAAGCAGTGGTTCGTCCTATTCAACGCACCAGTCTGAACGCTTTTAAACCTGATTTGAAAAAAAGACTCAAGCAGCAAACGACGAAAACATCTGTAATGGCATCAAGTGAACCACTGAAAGCTGTAATACCCATCAAGAAAGTAGCACCAATGCTTACAACTACTATAGCTACACCCGAAGGTCCTGTAGCGGCGAATTCAAGATTAATATCTCACAAGGTCAACATGGAGACATCAATGCATTTGCTTACAAAATCTGGTAAAATAGCCACTACTAGTACACCAATGCCGTCATCTAGGGGTGGTGATAAAATATGTGAATTTCCAAGTGCCTGTTCTACTCCTGCAAGCGGAGCGGTTAAATCGAGTGGCACAATAACAAGAAATAATCCACGCTTTTCAATTTCCACGCCTACTTCCAAATTACAACATACATCTACAACCTCTTCTGTGCTTAAAAAACGTCCAATACCAGAATTAACAAAGTCCAAATCTCCGGGGCGCGCGCGCTGTAGTTTGGGGGGAATGTTAACATCAACAGCCAGGGATAGGCATCCAATAAAGCAATCGAATGCTGCAAAACAGACAACTTCACGAATGGTTAGCTCTTTTAACTAAAATTGGTTCAAAAATTACTAAATATATACTTATATTTTAGAGCATGCGGTTGGTCAAGCGATCGTCTCCCTGTACGATATCGACAGCTACAAATAAGGAAAATAAAAAACCCCAAACCTAAATTTTTAGGTATTGTAACCATTGTTTTTTAATTCTTACACTGGTTAAAGCTTTTTATATATATTACGGGTATTCACGATCCGGTGCATACTGTCTAGCATGGTGCATAGATAGCATGATTGGCTAATTTTGTTGTTGTTTGAACACATGAAACAACAACAATCATGCTATTTATGCTATCTATGCACCATGCTAGACAGTATGCACCGGATCGTGAATACCCCTATTGTTTATTTTGGTAGGAATTTTAATTTATTTTCATGTACTTCTTTGCCCCTGTTCTGTTCATTCGAATTTATGTATGTATTTAGTAACCTTAAAACTTTTTGACTAGCTTTGTAGCAGAGGTGTTAAAAATGCAGTCTTCGTGACTTTAAATCGTTGCAGTCATATTCACTGACTAACACTTTTGAACTGCAGCCAATCAATCACATGTTTGACTAAAGACTGCAAAGTTGAAGTCATTAGTCTTTTCTGTTATTCATGACTAATTGATCATTTTTGCAGACTGAGGTGAATAATGAAAATCTAAAGCAAACTTACGTTCACTTCATAGAATTATAATACCAATTTGTTTAGAAAATAAATGAGTAAATGAATAAATAAATTAAAACTCCATTAGTATATAAAATATTTAGAAAATTAATTCCAGTAACTACCAATGAAATAAATTTGTATTTATTATATGTACATAATCTGTACATACTATGGATGCTTTCCATTTCCAGACAACCGGTCAGGTACGAGCATGATTTTTAATTTCGACCAAACTCAAATACATTGTTTGTTGGTCCAAATATGAGACACGTATTTTTTCTTTTGGCTCGGAAAAATTGTTCGGCCGAATTAAACGCGATTTTGTTTTTCAGGCAAAAATCGATTATTCGAATTGACAGTGAGAATTTTTTTTTTAAATGCCCATAACTGTCAAAATTTAATAGATTCCAACAATGTTTTTACTCAAATGTAAGTAATTCTTGTCACTTCAAGATAGAATGATATAATTATTGATTTTCAGTATTTAAATTTTTTTATTTAACAATAAACAAATGGTGCAATTTTTTTTTTATTTAATTTCTCAAAGTGTATTTTTTTTTTCTCTCAAACTTTTTTATCGGGAAAGAGACACTTTGAACTAAAATCAACCCAATCTCTCTTATGTTCTAATATCTATTTCATACACAAAAAATGATCACAACTGTACTTTTTGCTGATATATTACATACATATTTTCCATTTAGTAGTATGTACCACAAAAACGTATATTTTCTATAAAAAATCATCTCAGAAAAAAAAAATCTTCGCTATTAGAGATTTGGGTTGATTGTAGTTCAAAGTGTCTCTTTCCCGATAAAAAAGTTTGAGAAAAAAAATACACTTTTTGAGAAATTAAATAAAAAAAAAAAATTTGCACCTTTTGTTTATTGTTAAATAAAAAATTTTAAATAATGAAAATCAATAATTATATCATTCTATCTTGAAGTGACAAGAATTACTTACATTTGAGTAAAAACATTGTTGGAATCTATTAAATTTTGACAAAGTTATGGGCATTTAAAAAAAAAATTCTCACTGTCAATTCGAATAATCGATTTTTGCCTGAAAAACAAAATCGCGTTTAATTCGGCCGAAAAATTTTTCCGAGCCAAAAGAAAAAATACGTGTCTCATTATTTGGACCAACAAACAATGTATTTGAGTTTGGTCGAAATTACAAATCATGCTCGTACCTGACCGGTTGTCTGGAAATGGAAAGCATCTATGTAAATGAAAAAATAACAAAGTGCATGAGAACATGTTTCCGAAAAAATTAACAATGATCCTTGAAACTTATTTATACGGCCCCGTTAACTTTCAACAACAGCAATTTTTCGAAATTGTTGTCAGAAAGCGTTCCCAATGTAATTCGGACATTCTGCTGAACGAAAGACTTACGACACGAACCTTTCTTGCACACAAAGTGAAAAATTGTTCCAAGAAATGGACAGTTCACCCTAACAATAAACGATCTTGAAGTTGAAATGATCAAGACTTTCTGGCTTACAATTAAAAGACGGGGTTTCCACTGAAACAATTTCTCATCTCAACACGCGGACATCCCTCATTCTTAACATTAGGTTCATTCCTTATCTTTTTGGACTAAAATCTGAAAAGTGTCAAAATGCCAGAGCGTAAGCAAAATGCGCTCACTAAAAGAGAGTAACAGGAAAAGTAAAGGAACGCAAAAAACCAAATTTTTAGTCCAAAGAATGGCAACAACAAAACTAACGTCAAATAAGAACAGAAATGTATGTACAAAACACATTCACACAAGCACAAGCACAATAAACACTTGCTATATCAATTATTTTTTGCCTCCTTCCAATTTCAATTCATTTCTTTTACTTTTTAGATTATTCTCACTTTTTGCGTATTCTTTAATTTCCGTTAATTTAAATTCAGTTGAGTTTGACACTTTTCAGGATTTTGCCAGAAAAAATTCTTCTGACTAAATCTGACTACTTCGGACTGATGAGAGTCGCTCTTACTGACTGTTGCTCTCTCATTTTTGCTGTCATTTCCGAGTTAAGGAACGCTTTTTGGACTAAATCTGACTACTTCGGACTTTTTCTGACTATTTCTGGGAGATAAGGAACGCGCATATTCTCAAAACTTTTGTTCTCGTGATTCGTAGCTACGCTACGAAAAACGAAAAATCCACATGCTGCAACCCTTGCGGAAACATGTGCAGCATTGCCAGCTATCAGTTGTTTTTCGATGATAGCTGAATGAAGGAAAACAAAGTGGAAAAGAAATAAAAAAACACTCATCATGTGTTTGTTTATTGTAAAATTGGTTAATTTTACAATATTTTGAGGAAAATTATGGGTTCTGATGCATTTGCAATTATAGCAGCAGAGTAAGAGGGCGCTATGGCAATGGATTCACAAAGGTATGCGGAGCTGTCGGGCATAGTCACCATGGGCGCATCTATGTTAGCTTCTGGTTGAATTGTTGAACCACAAGCCAGAACTCCTATGCCTGAAGCTCTGGTTCTCAATCCAGTTAATGTAATAACAGCTTCTTCCAAGCCATTGAAAACGTGCACTTTGTTAGGTCCACCACCTGTTGCGCTTGCTTCTGCCTTCGGCCGCGCTTAGGAAATATAACCCTTACTAAGTAGAATTCTCCTTTCTGTGTTGCGGGGAAGAGGGGCTTCCGCATGTCAAAGGTATACAACATTTCTTGTGCATATCGCTCCGGCTACGCCGTCCACAGTATTTTTGCGCAGAACCCACGTCGAAATTTGCAAAAAAGTACATAGTGCAAACCGAGTTTATCAATAAGCTAGTGGTAGGAAATTTGAAACATTTATCTTAAATAAAATGTGAATCCTTTGATTACACGTGTATGTTAAAGTTTTTGGATTCGGGTTATGCGTTTGGACACAACTACCGAAACTCATTGTACAAATAACTAAACCGGACCCAAGTTTCTCGATAAGGGGCAACAAAGATTTTGTTTTGGTAGTTTATATAAAGCAGTGGATAAAAATATACGTATATGCGAAAGGCAAATTTATCTGTTTAAATGAACACCACCAATATTTCTTGTAAACACACATCGATTTACATATTTTATTTCGCCTCCGACACAGAATTGTTTTCGTACAAAATTACGCAAAAAAGCTTATTCGTTCGTTTTTAGGCATGCCATTGTAACGAATTTCGAAAGTTCAAAAATACGATTCGGATTGCAGCATACCATTTCTACGATTCGTATCAAAATCCGAATACGAAAGAGTTGCAGAATAGGGGTGATTACCTTTTTTTTACATGCAGAAATAAACCAAATCCGGAACGCGTTCTCGGTCCCTGAAAAACATTCAAAGTACTGCAAAAGAATGCATTCCAATGTCTGAAATCAAATGGCTAACAAAAAGTGACTAAAATAATGCAATCCAATGGCTGAAATCAAGTGACTAACAAGAAATGAATAAAAAAGTGTGTTATGAATCATAAATCAAATACTAATTTTTTTTAGTCAGGACTAACGAAAAATTATTGCAATCACTCGGGACTTCAATCAAATGAATAATTTAGTTAAAAATGTTTGCATTCTTTTACACCTCTGCTTTGTAGTAATAATTTTCCATCAATAAATAGCTGGAGAATATTGGGCTACTCTCTGTCAGATAACTAGATATACATACATACATATATCCAAAAAGTGAAAATTCCGAATTGAAAATCTGCATTTATTATTCAAAATTCCTGTCTGGCAGCACCAAGTTTGCTGTTATTTTGCTACCTTGTTCATCGTTTATACGAAAACTTTAGCAACAAATTATATAAAAACTATAGGGTTGCTAGAAAAAAGGGAGATATTTTTGAAATCAGGAGGTCCTATTCTAACCCCCCTCATCCCTACTTTTTCTAGAATTCGCCGTTCGCATACTAAAATTACCTTTTTTTAATTTGAGATTTGGAGCCAAACTGCATTTGTCCGAAAAAATTTCTGAGCAAAATTTAAGGCATACATAAAAATAACCAACCGTTCAGCTATAGAAAAACTAAAAATGCAGAACGCTAGTACTTTTTACGATGATTTTAACTATATAAACATTATTTCCCGCAATTAAAAAGTAAAGTAGATATAAAGGGGTAAAACAAAAAAATTTTGATATTTTGAAATATTAATATTTTCTAAACTGCGTAACCGATTCAAAAGATAATGATGTCACAATTAATTTATCTTAATTTTGATATATAAAATGTGTATGCTTGTTTATATATTTAAGCCAAAAATATTATAAAACAAAAAAAATGTCATAATTTCATAAAATAACCTTTTTTTAAGAAAAAGTCCATTATCAATGATAACAAGTTTACATTATATGGAAAGTGCCAGTTTTTACCTTTAATTTGATATACATATTATATTATAATTTGTTTTTGAGTTTTCACAATTCAGTGATAATAAAAAAAGTAAATGCATGCATGTGCAAATGCATATTGTAGTTAATTAAACAAAGCGAGT